CAGATAAGGGGGCCTTTTCCTTCAGTTTTTCTGATGATATATCAAACAAGTCTTTCCGTTATTCAGACCAATTTTCTCCTAGTCATAGATGTCATTTTTCTATGGTTTGGTCTAAAGTGAATTCCTGTAGTTGTAAAAAAGGTAGCCCATCCTCCTATCAGAATTTTTTATCATCAAAAAGTACTGCTTCAACTCCCCGTTTTCAGGTTATGATCAACTAATCTTTTTTCTATCTTTATTTTCTTTTTCCAGATTTCATGATTGGCATTGGACATATCATTGACTCCAAAGAGTTGATAGCAAATATTCAGACAAAAAAAATACCAGATATCATCTGTTATACAGGACAATGGTACATAGCAAAAAGCCTACAACAAGAGAATAATTACAATAATCTGCAACCAAGGGAAGGATGTGAAGAAAAACAAAGCAGCGTGTTCTTTTTAAGTATGTCTTGCAATTTTATTCAAGTCACATGCCCTTTGTGCATAAAAGATAAAAATAATAGTCAGAAATTTCCAGTAGCCAGAAAATTAAATACTTCGAATACACAAACTAACAGCCGATAAAAGAACAAGGCATTGTTAGGCAAATAAAACCTTGTGTTTTAGTCTTCGAAGCACAAAGGGCCGCAGCACTTGGTGAAGACGATTTATGATCAAAAGATTCTCCTCTTCAGACAGTAAAGCCTAGTCAAGATGCGCATTAAGCACAAGGAGTTAAAAATTTAGAAAAGGAAAAAATGGCAAATGGCCCATCTATCATCGTAAAAGTAGGAGGGGTAAGAAACTTACTTCATCCAATGAATTGTCACCATTACTTTCAAAAGGCTTATTAAACCATTGGGAAAAATCTTCTGACGAGTTAAAAATATTGGGCAACAAGAAGTTAAGAAGTGCCCAGAGTTCCTCAAGATTGTTCTACATGAAGATAGCACGGGGAGAGTAAATATATTTCAGCATTTACTGACACAAAAAGGTGAATATTGATAGTAGACTCGTGAATTACGCAAAGTTATGTGCTAAGAATAAAGTTACATGTTTATGCAACAGATACTAAATAAATGTTTTGAATAAGTGATTAGAAAATGAGACCTGCAAAGGAGTTCCAGTCAACAGCAATCTGTGATTACTACGATAATGCTTCAACTCAGCATTTAACTTGCAGGAAGCATTCTTAATGCGATGCCCCTCATCGATAATGAGATAATGCCAATGTACTTTGCTTAATTTTGGTCGATCGTGCTTGTTCATTAAATATTCATATGTTGTCAGGAGAACATTGAATTTCTGAGGAGCAATTTGTTCCCTNAACTAAATAAGAAATATGGAATAAGATTTACTCGAGCGGCTAAACCAAAAGAAAATGAAGAATGGGAACCAGATTCTGAAAAGTGATCACCTTGGCCTGATCCTTTTCATCTTCATTCTCAAAAATGATTTCATTCTCCTCAACACCACTACTCTCGTCCATATCAGTTTCAAACTGTCTTTCCAACACCTTAGCCTCCTTTAGTTTTGACCCAAGCTTTTGCAGATACTTCTCAGTCTCTTTCAGCAGTTGCTTAACACGGTCTGATTTTGCATCCTATAAGCATATCGAAAGCAATGTCAAAGAGAAATCAGACAAATCCATTCTTAAGACAATTAAAACTCTACTAAGTTATACAGCACCTTAACCATGCGGAGATACCCTTCAACATCATTAATTTTTAATAAATTAATCTTTTCGCGCTGTATCCTGTCAATCTTCTCACGATGAAACCTTTCTTTCCTCTTATGGAACTCCCTTGAATATTTATTGAATCCCTTCCAGCGCTCTCTCCTCATTTTAAATACATCTTCCAGTCTCTCTCTGCAGTTGACATTGTCAAAGCCATCACAAAAACTAATTAGCGTCCTCCTGTAAAGAGCAGAAGCCAGGTTTTTGGCAGAGGCATTATCCTGTAAAGTACACTCTACCTGTGAAATTCCATCTCACCAAAGAATTCCGTCTGCCTCTCACGGATTCTCTTTTGTCGATCCTCCTTCATTTTCTGCTCATATCTCTCAATTTGTTTTGGCCTCCTTCCAATTCTGTGCTTCTTAATTGATTTCAGGCGGTCAATCTGACTGGCTATCGGCTTGAAAAAATCATTTACTATATCTCTGCAGAAAGATAATGATTGAAAATATAAGAACCAAATAAACGATATGATGCCAGAGAATATGTGAAAGACAAA